TTTATGAAACCAAATACAAAAGGGTGAAGGATTTTTATGTAATGCTAAACTCTTTGCTGTTTATTTATGCTTCATTTGCTAATTGGTAATTGATTGTTAGGCTGTGTATTTTAGGTTTCAGTTTTTTTAGTAATTTAATGTTGTACTTTTTAATTGCTATTTATTTATAATAATGTCTTATATAGAACATTACTTTAAAACATATATGCAAAAATATAAAACATAATTATAATTATTAAGTTAAAAATAAATAGAAACGAATTTGGGCCGGCTGTGCTGTGCACAGCCGGAGTCAAACTAGTTTAGGAATTACAGAAAGGTATCCAAGCCTTTACGAGCAGAAAAATGATACATAGACAATCTAGTTTACAACTAGATTGACAACACAAGTGGAAACATCCACTTGTGTATTTTTTTATTTTTAACTTTATGTATGTCTTTTACTTGTGTTGTCAATCTAATTGTACACTAGGTTGGCAATGTAGCATTAGTCGAGCAGAAAAATGAGTGAAACTAAACAACATACACCCAATGAGAGCAATAAGTAATAATTAAATATTTTCATAAAAAATTTACTGAATTTGTCCCATCTAATTAACTCAAAACAGAAAGCAACGAACCACCTCAAATTTTGGACCATTTATATGGCTTTTAGCCATTCACATCTCGTGTAGTTTGCACGGGTTTTCGGTCACCTTTTTGTTTTATTCTGCACAAATGATGACACCTCACCTCACTAACATTTACTCATTTAGACAACTATATTTTCTTGTAAATTAATCTATTTGATTATTTTATTACAAAAATATGTTCTTATTTATAGTTTATTATAATTAAAACATAATACTTGAAAATATAACTATATGTAATTACTGAAAGAGTATGATTGTATAGTCATTAGGTATTCTAATGTAATACTAGGGCCGCAAACCAACCGAGCAGCTCGCGAGAGCTCGAGTCAAAGCTTGACTCGAACTCGAATTTGACCGAAATCGAGTCGAGCTCGAGCCCATATTTTGCGTTGTCGAGCGGCTTGAGATATATGCTAAATTATTAAATTATCCTATATATATATATATATATATATATATATATATAATCATAGGTGCTTAATGGTAGTTTTACTTTTCCATTTAAAATTTTTCGAGTCGAACTCAAGTCGAGCTCGAACATTTTGACTTCGAGTCGAGATCGAGTTATTGTAATTTTTTATCGAGTCAAGCTCGAGCCTCATAAATCGAGCTCTACGGGCTCGAGTAGCTAAAAAAAAAAACAGTCATGCTCAATAAGAACAATACTCGACTAGACTCGGCTCGTTTACAGCCCTAGTAATACACCGGTTATTTTGTTTCTACTTTTTTTTTTTCCCTCTCTATTTTCTTAGGAAAAAAAAAAATAGGTAAGATAGAGAAAATACATTCTATAAGCCCTAATCTAGAGACCTAATAGAACCGACCTTTATTTCATATCAATCACGCACGCATGCATCTTCGGACCTACCCATATATTCACACTCGCAATCTCAACCGTCCATTTTATTTAGATTCTCAACCTTTTATATCATAGCTCAACCTATTTGTTTCCATTATAGTGAATTAAATCCAATTTCTTGTATCTTTTGGCGTCCACAAGGATTAATGCGATTCAACACTTTCACAATAGGAGGGCCTGCTGTTACAACACGAGGAAAACAAACTTCAATGCGTTCAATTTTATTTTAGTGAATTTTATTATTATATAATTAAGGCTGAATTGTAAAATATAATCAGTATCTTGTACGCGGTGGTAGTAATAACCACCATCTTTAGGAATTGACAATATTAGCTAACAACATTCAAAATTTCGAGATTGTTACCTAAATGGCTAAATCCAACTAAATTCGACAGATAAATTGCAAAATATAGTCAATATCTTTTTACAGAGTGACAACAATAACCATCGAATTTGATCAGACATGGGTAATAACACCAAAATTTTGGAAGTTGTTGGCTAATATTGCCGATTCGTAATAAACATGGTGGCTAATATTGTCACCGCGTACAAAGTACTGACTATATTTTGCAATTAGAAAACAATGTCAGCTAGGGCTCTGCAGTATAATAACTTCAAAATAGTTTTTACATGAATCATGATGATAATGAATATATGGCTATGGCTTTGGAGCTGTTTGAAGCTTATATATATAGGAATATGTATTTTGAATTAAGTTTGTCACGGGTAATCAAGTTTGTATATATAATTCGTATATTAATTATCAAGAGTAATTAGGTTGTAGTTTAAATTTACACATGCTTATGTTTAATTAAATTACTTGTCAGAACAAAAGATGAAAATCAATTTGAAACAAATAATTTCATGTATTTTCCAGGAGCGTGTACAATAATAATATATGGGGAAATGCTACAGTCCCGTTATTGAACCATTCCGTCAGGATTTATAACCGTTAAATTATCATGTAACCGTCATTGTCGATCTAATAGTTACAAAACTGACGAAATAGTTTCGTAACGGAAAAAAAGCACCATCTTTTTTTTAAAAAAAAAAAAAAAATCATTTGTAGAACTTTACGATCACACCTACGATGCTATGGTGCATGCCTTTCGACAAAAGATAATCTAATCTATGATTACTTTTTCTTAAAAAACTATATTTAAGTTAATAACAAACTAATTATATTATAAAATGTTTTATCTTTGCGTGAGAATAAAAGAATGCTTTAATGGGC